CCCTGCTGGCGGCCTCCACCGTGGCCTCGGTCATCCAGGACGGCTCTCGCTGGCAGGTCGCCGGGCCAGACCAGCTGGGCCGGGAGAGCGTGGTCGGGTAGCTGAGGGGGACGGAGGGGGACGGAGGGGGCTCCGAAGGGAAACGGGTCCTGGAGTTCTCTCCCGGTGCCCAGTGCGGGCCCCAGGACGGCCACAGCGGGCGCAGGATGAGGAGGTGGTGCTGCCGAGCGCGTTTCCCTGAGAACCCTTTCCTGCATGATAGCGGGCAGCAGCAGACGGCCTCTCATCATGGGGAATGGCAGGAGGGGTTGGGAGGAGGAGTGGGGCAGGCCATTGAGGACGCGGAGATGCGGGATGAGAGAGGGATGAGGATGGCGGCTCATGGTCGGGGGGGGTGAGGGAGGAATATATATATATAGAGAGAGAGAGAGAGAGGACAACGAGGAGGATATTCGGATAGGGAGGGAGGGAGGGCTGGACGGGGAAGCAGAGACGGGAAAAGGGGAGGAGCAGGCGAACGGGACCTCCCCTCCTTCTGCCCCCCAGGATCCGCCCATCCCCTCCGCGCGCGAGTCCTCCGCGCCCCCCGCCTGGCAGCTCCTACGAGCCACGCCGACCCACCCCCCCCGGCGCGCCGCGCCGCGCCGCCAGATATCGGGCGAGAGGCCGCGACGGGGTCTGCGCCGGCTGCCCACGCGCTGCCGTCCTGGCCGGGCGGGCCGACCGGATGCGGCGACGGGGGCGCATGGCCCGGGGGCGGCAGAGCGCGTGTGCCCCCCTCCGGGGGCCTCGCCGAGGACGGGGACCATCGGCGCCTTTCGGAGCACATGTGTTGCTCTCCGCCTGGGCTATGCGTAAGTCGGGCCTGTCCCTCTACGGGGGGAACATGCAAAAATAGTAGAAAATAGTTTGGGGACGATTGTTTGACCATTGTTGACCATTTTGGAGTATTTTTTTTTACTAGTCTCTATTTCTCGCCCAGCCTAGGGGGGGACATGCCCGACCTGAGGCTCTGCGCCCCCTGTCGTCGCCTCCGAGTCGAGGGTCGAAGAACGAGATCCGAGGCTGGGAGGTGGTTGCCTCTCGGAGCTCGCGCAAGCCCCCTTGGGTTCGGCTGCACGGAAGGGTGACCTTCTGCCAGAGTGACCTTTGGTGCGGGCTCATCGGGCTCCCCCCGATCGCCGAGCGCGGTGCGATATGAGCGGCCCGCGCCATTGGTTTTTTTTTGCAATCCCGCATGCATGCATGTGTTTTTGTTTGCCGTATCGCATTGCACGCAGTATTGTGTCGATCATGCACTTGCTGTGTTCGCATGCCGCTGCCATTTTCATTCGAGCCCTGACGAGCCCCAGCAGGGGCGAAACGTTGACACGCGTAGTGAAAAGGCACGGGCTTGAGAGCGCCATACGAGTAAAGTAAAGGCCCCCAGAAGCTGCGCACCAAAGGTCACTCTTACGCCTAGCCGATTTGCGCCTCCCGAGGCGCCCTCGTCGCCACGGCCACGCTCGCCCCCGGAGCTCTGGCGAGGACGCGCCCCGGGCGCCGGCTCCGAGGAGAAGGGCCCAGACTCACGTCGGGCGCGTCCCTCTCTACAGGAGGAAGCTTCCAGCACAGTCAAGAAATCGTATGGGGACCATTTGTTGTGTGTATTTTTGCGTATGTTTGAGAGTATTTTTGGGGCATTTGTGATTTTTCGTTCGAGATCGGCCTGTAGGGGCACACGCCCGACCTAAGCCCAGACCTCCCTCAGCGTCGTGAGAATCAAAGAAGACGAACACGCCAGAAACATGAATTTTTGGCGCTCCGCGCGGATTTCTTGGATCCGCGCTGAGCCCCCCCAGCGGCGCCTCCAGCGCCGCCACTGGCGCGCTCCCCGCGCCGGGGAGGGGGGCCCGGCGCGGATCCAAGACATCCGCGCGGAGCGCCACGAATTTATGTTTGTGTGGCTTTTTGTTCTTCGAGTGAGAAGGTCGCGACATGCGTTGTTCGTAGATCTCGGGCCATCTACATGCAGCCCCTGACAACACAAACAGTCACCGGCACGATGCCGACGACAGGTGATCGTTTTCTTATTTCTTGTTTGCCGATCGGCGCGGGCCCTCGCACCCCCCTCCCCCTGATGGAGTAGATCTTGGCTGTTTTTGGCGCTTGTTCCGAGCAGGTGGAGCCTCCCCCGAAGCACGCACTGCTGCAAACAGTCGCAGTGAGCAGAGGTCCAGAGCCAGATCCCCCACCCCTCCCCCTCACCTTTCCGCCCAGTGTCGGAACGCCGAGTAAGAAAGCGCTCACCAGCTTTAAAAGTCGGGCGTGTCCCTCTGCAGGAGGAATTTTCAAGAACAGCCGAAACATACCCTGGAGACTATTTGTCTAATTACGGTAGGTTTGCATCGTGTCGACCAGCGGCGACCCCAGCGCGGGCGTTCAAGGTTGAACGCCGCCGGCGACCCAGAATCGATCGATGTTGAACGATCGGACGTTGCGGCAGCGGCCGATCGTTCAAGGTTGCATGATCCCTGCGGTGTCAAAAACCAACGCTGGGGTCGGCACGACACGAACCTGCCGTACTGGTTTTGACCACTTTTTTGAGCATCTCTTGCATATATTTTCCTCTATTTCTCCTCGAGAGCCCCCGCCGCCGGGCCGAGCCTGTGGGCGCCCGGGGCGCGTGGCCCTGGCGGGGGGCCCCGGCGGACGAACTGGCGGCCCAGAAGCGCGTGCTCCCTCGGGGGGGCCCTCACACGTCGGGGGCGGCAACGAGGGGGGTGGTGACCAGGGGGGGGGTGCATATCATGGCGGGGGCCATGAGTCAGGAGGAAAAGAAACACACAGACACACTTAATCCTCGATTTCCCAGAGAATATGGGAAAATATGGGAAGTGGGCGGGAAGACAAAAATCCAGAAAATATGGGAAAATATGGGGCATCTTTTTATTTGTGTGTATTTATTTGTGTGGCTTGGGGCCCCTTCAATGAGATCTCTCCAGGTTTCAGAGCGCCTCTTCTTCTTTCATGACGTCCCCGGCCCCCCCCCCCCCGCTGGGCCGCGCACGTGCCGCCGGCCACGATTTGCGCCCCCCCCCCCCCTCTTGGACGCCCCCCTCTTGGCCGACCCCGATGTGTGTGTTCCCTCGGGGGCCCCCAAACGGGGTGGTGACCACACCGTGCGGTGAGTCGGGGGGGATTCGGGGCCACCGCACGGTTTTGGGACTCGGCTCGTGCTCCGAGGATGTCTCGGGCGACAGGGGCCTCCAGGGTCCCAAGACCGTGTGGACGCCGGTCGCAAGACCCTATCGTGAAGTCCGGCGTGTCCCTGTCTACAGGAGGAATATTCAGAAATAGTTTCAATAAGAAACAGTCAAGGGTCGATTTTTGGAGTGATTTTGACAATTTTTGGGTATCCTTTTGGTATTTGTGATTTTTCGTCCAAAACCCGCCTACAGGGGGACATGCCCGACGACCTGAACCAAAAGTGTGTGTTCCTGCATCTGCGGACGCCGGTGGCAGGACACTATCGCGAGACGCTCCAGCATCCCGCAGCTCGAGACGCCAGGGCGTCTGTGCACCGAGCTCCCTTGCCACCAGACGACGCCCCTCGGATCTGACGTCGTGGCAGATCTTGGCAACACCACAAGAAACCACCCCCAGAGCCCGGGACCCCATCTTCCTGCGTCTTTTTTCGATCGACTAGACGTAAGAGTGACCTTTCGCCGGAGTGACTTTTGGTGCGGGCACAGATGGGCCCCCAGGTGGCTGAAAACGAAGCAGGGGCAGCGGCTTGCGCGCTCAGGTCTGGTCCCCCCGCGGCCCCCCAAAAGCCGCGCACCAAAGGTCACTCTTACCCAGGGTCACTCTTGCGTGTAGCCGATTCGAGCCGGATCGATCCGTTGAGGGTCTCCGGGCCCAGGCGGAAGCGCCCGCGGTGAGACGTCTGCCGCGCCGGGAGCTCTGGCATGGCGTGCAGTCGGAGCGCATAGGAATCGGAGGTGGATAGACCTCCTACCCTGACACGTCGATTGAGGAATTTGCCAGTCTCGGTTCGCGAGGGGTCGTCGCGGCCGTCACTTTTGGCGGGTCCAGGTCCGTCGGTTTTGGTCCCGGGCCGTCTTCACGGAGGGGAGGTTTACTAAAGGGAGGTTTGTCCACAGCCGAAGGAAGGATGAGCGACTTTCCAAGGTTCCCCTTGCATCCTTGCCCCTTCGTCCCATCCTTGGCAGCTCTCGCTGCCCAGCTCCGCTCGAACCACGTCGGCATGGCCCTGAAAGGCCCTTGCATCCGCACCGCGCATCTTTCCTATCGCGCGATGAAATCTACACTCGGGGATGGACAGAACCCCCACCTTGACACGTCGATTCGTGACTTGTCCGTTGCCAGTTCTCGAGCGGGCGCCGCGGCCGGCTTTTTCCAGGCTTGCGCCCGCCAGGTTTGGGTCCGAGGTCGTTTTCACTCAACCGCGTTTTGCTAAATACAGGGGGCTCTGTCCATCCCCGAACGATCGGGCGATGAAATCCATATACAGGTCCGCTGCCCCCCTGGCCTCGGGCGTGTCCCTCTACAGGGAGAATATAAAAAACAGAAAAAAAATAGTATGGGGACGATCTTCTGACCATTTTTGACGTTCTCTGGGGCATCTGTTTGGGCACTCTCTCAGTTTTCGCCCAGAGTCCCCCCTGTATGGGGGACATGGCCGACCTAGGGCCTGCTGGCCCTTCCTGGGCCCAGGAGCCGCGGGCACGTCCGTCGTCTCAGCAGCCAATCCCGCCGGAGTGCTTTTTGATAGTATTACCTATCCGATCGACCTGAGATCAAGATGGCGGGCAGCAATAAGATCGAAGATGGGAAGAACAATTGATAGTACTATCTATCCGATCGACCTGAGATCAAGATGGCGAGCAGCAATACGATCGAAGATGGGAAGAAAGATATCAGAACCCTAACGAATGGTTGAATTTCGAGAAGCTGATTTTCAACCCACCAAAAGTATGCTACACTTCCGCGTCCAGATTTTGCGAGCCGACTAGCCCGCCAGCGCGCCGGAACTGGGAGCCGGCGGCAAACCGTCAACCAGATCTCCGCCTGGCCCTTCCTCAGGAGGGGAAAGAACACACAGGCACAATTCATCCTCGATCCCCCCGAAAATATGGGAAAGTATGGGGAGGGGGGGGGGGGAAGACAAAACCCCAGAAGATGTGGGGAGATATGGGGGGAATCCTTTGATTTGTGTGTACTTCTTTGTGCGTCCTGGGGCTCCTTCACTTCCCGGGCCCGGGAGCCGCGCGCACGCCCCTCCTGGCCAGGGGGGCGTGGCGCGGGCACGCCGCCTGGGCGGGGGGTCCGGGGCGGGCCTGGCCAGGGGTGGGCCTGGCGGGTCCAGTAGAGGTACGCCGGGCGTGCCCCGCTGCAGGAGGAGTGCGCAGAGATAGTCGAAAGATGGGCTGGGAGTCAGGGAACGATCTGTCGAGCATTTTTTGTTTTTTGTTATGTCTATATGTACGCGCTGGTATCATGACTATGTTTCTGAATCTGATTATGCTTGTGCTTATGCTGATGCTGATGATGATGCTGATGATGATAATGATGATGATGCTGATGCTGATGATTATCATGATAATGATGATGGTGATGATGATGCTGATGATGCTGATGATTCTGATTATGATTATGATTAGTCTGATGATGATGATGCTGATGATGATGAGGATGATGATGATGATGATTATGATGCTGATGATGCTGATTATGCTGATGATGATGAGGATGCTGATGATGCCGATGATGATGATGATGACGATGCTGCTGATGATGATGATGCTGATTATTATTATTATTATTATTATTATTATTATAATTATTATTACTACTATTATTATCATTGTTATTGTTATTACTATTATCATTACTATTATTGTTATCATTATTATCATTACTCTTATTAGTATTATTACTACTACTACTACTACTACTACTACTACTACTACTACTACTACTACTACTACTACTACTACTACTACGACTACTACTACTACTACTACTACGACTACTACTACTACTACTACTACTACTACTACTACTACTACTACTACTACTACTACTACTACTAGTACTACTACTACTACTACTACTACTACTACTACTACTACTATAACAATAATAATAACACTACTAATACTAATTATCATTATGTTTATTATTATTATTATTATCCGTGTGTAATAATCTGCCGTCCAAAATCTGCCTTTAGGAGGACATGCCCCACCCAACTGTAGATGCTTCGTCGCCCTATCTTCTGCGTTTTGTTTGCTTGCGCCGAGCCTCTCCCGGGTGCGCGTGTCATCGAGTACAAGAGAACCCCTGACCCTGATTTCACAGTGAAAAAGTAGTCTATCTAAGGTCCCCGTCGTTTTGCATTCGGGATGCTAAGTCTGGGCGGTTTGCTTCGATACAGCTGCAGAAGAGGTCCCCTAGCCCTGATGTGTTTACCCTCCTAACTTAGGTCCCCTCCTAAAGGGTTACGCGTCCTTTTTGGTTACAGTGGAGGCCCATGCCAAGAAACACCCTGCGTGCCTCCAGGGTGCCCTGGGTTTCTTGGGTTTCGACAGTTCTGCCGTGGAAAGCGTGGCGCTCCCACACCAAAAGTCAATGGACTTCCTGGGGTCTCAGGGTTGGGTTTCTCGTGGAAGGTTTCCTGAGGTCGGGCCCCCACTGTATCCCTAGTGTGTGTGTGTGTGTTTGGCCCTCCAAACTTAGGTCCCTTTTCCAAAGTGTTAGGGGCTCTTTTTTTGGCCATAGGCAGCGCTGATGTGTGTTGGCCCTCCTGACTGAGGCTCACTCCCAGAGGGTTAGGAGGAGGAGGAGGAGGAGGAGGAGGAGGAGGAGGAGGAGGAGGAGGAGGAGGAAGTAGTAGTAGTAGTAGTAGTAGTAGTAGTAGTAGTAGTAGTAGTAGTAGTAGTAGTAGTAGTAGTAGTAGTAGTAGTAGTAGTAGTAGTAGTAGTAGTACGAGGAGGAGGAGGAGAGGAGGAGGAGGAGGAGGAGGAGGAGGAGGAGGAGGAGGAGGAGGAGGAGTAATACTATTACTAGTAACAATTAAAAATAATAATGATAAGGAACAAAAACAAGAGTCATACTACTACGAAGAATAATACGATCAATAATCATACTAATAAGAGTGATAATAATATTAAGGGTAAGACTGATAATAATATTACGAATCGTAATAATACTACTACGAATAATAATACTCATACTTATACGAATAAGAAGAAGACGAGAAGGAGGAGGGGTTTTGTTGGGGGGCATTATCAGCGTGGACGGTCGGCGCCCTCCCACCGGGCCTCTCCTCGCGGGGATGGGCGGGGCCGCCCGCGCGGCGCCGCGGCGGCCGCGCACGCTCGGCGCGGCGCTGTGGGCTGCCGCAGGCGCGCGCGCGTGCCGCCGTGCCGCGGGGCGCACGGGGGCCCTCGCTCGGAGGAGGGAAAACAGGTACCGATGCCGCTGCCGTTCCCCTGCGCTCTCCCTCTGTCGGCCTCCTGGGAGGCCCTCCCTGCTCCCTCCTCCCTCCTCCTCCTCCTCCTCCTCCTCCTCCGCCTCCTCCTCCTCCCTCCTCCCTCCTCCCTCCCTCCCTCCTCCCTCCTCCCTCCTTCCTCCCTTCCTCCTCCCTCCTCCCTCCTCCCTCCTCCCTCCCTCCACCGCGGGATTCGCCTCGAGGTCCTGGTCAGAACGCCCCCCCACCCTGGGAGAGGTCTGTGGGGGGTAGCGGTATTGGTGCCTTTTTGGTTTCCCCACCGGCCGGGGCGCGCGCGCGCTGGGGCCCCCCGCGGCCCGATGCCGTCAGCCCGCACAGTAAGGACGATCGACTTCCCAAGGGCAGGGCTCGAGCTAAACGATGTTCAGGCAATTTCGTGGACCGTTTTCGTTTTGCCTTCGTTTTGCAGCAAATGTGGAACGAAAACAGAGCTAGGGGTGACGAACACAAAACGAAAACGGAACACACTTTAACTCGAGCCCTGCTCAAGGGTGCCCTCGCATCCTTGCCTCTTCGGTCAACTTCGGCCCATCCTCAGCCACTCTCGAGGGCTGGCCCCGCTCGAGGAGCCTCGGTATGGGCGTCCGAGGCCCCTGCATCCTTGCCGCGCGTCCTCGTGACACGGGCTGGCTGTGCCTCAGAGGAGGAAAGGGCAGTTGCCTATTTTGCTGGTCTTGCCTCGTTTTCGCCTTTTTGGGCCTCCTGGGAGGCCCTCGTCGCCGCAGCGGCGAGCGAGGGGCGGGGAAGTGAGAAGGAGAAGGGCCCTCTCAGAAGGCGGCGGGGCTTCTCAGAAGCCCTCGGGCCTTCTGAGAAGTTTTCTACTGTCAGGGGCAACGATTGGGGGGGGGACAGGCATGGGGGGAAGATACATCAATCTTCAATTGAACATCGATCGCCGATGGGGCTCTGATAGCCCCATCCCGCCCAGGAAGGTGCGGATTCGCTATCCGGGGCCTATCGCCGATCTATCGGCGAGGTATCGCCGATTCCAGGTCGATGTTTCCCTGCCTTTGCCACCTTTCCCCTATCGTTGCCCCTCGTATCTCACCCGAGATCTGGGCGTTGCCATTTTCTCACAGCGGGCGATCTTCAGCCCCGCGCAGAGGGGGGGAGGGGGGAGGCTTCTTAGGAGCGCCCCTGCCTCTCAGAGGGCGCGGCGCCTCGTCTGTAGATGTGAGGCCGGCGCCCTGTCAGCAGCAGCCTCCCCCCGAGGAGCCGCCCCCGCCTCCCCCTCTGCGCCCTCGTGCGCGCGGCCAGCCCTGCCTCCCCCGAGAGCCGGGCGTTGCCATGCTCTTCCCTGCCGGGCGACCTTGCCTCCCCTCGGGCCACGTGGCGGGGGCCCCCCAAAACGGGGTGGTGGGGCCGCACCGTGCGCGGTGAGTCGGTGGGGACATCGGGGCCACCGCGCGTTGTGTTGGGGCTCGGGCCGCTCTCCGGGGGCGTCTCGGGCGACGGGGGCCTCCAGGGCCCCAGGGCCGCGTGCGGTGGCGGACCGTGCGGCGAGGTCCTGGGGGAGGTCGAGGTCACCGCACGGTCTGTCGCCGCGCCGGTTTCGGGGCTCCGAGGCGCGGCCCCGCCCGCGCACGGATCGGGCTCGAAGAGGAGCAGGCCAGGGGGCAGCAGCTGCGGGTGCCCAGAGAGGGGCGCAAGCGGCGAGGGGCGCTCCCCGGTCAGGAAGCGCGTGCGGTGCCCGCCCCTGGGCCGCAGCCCCGCGTCCTGTGAGGTGGACGAGGGCCGCCGTCCGGGCGTGCACACCCTCCACCAAGACCAAGACCAAAACCAGAGCGCCCTGGGTTGAAGGCTCTCAGGGCGTTCCTGGAGCGCTCTGGTCGGGGGCGGCCAGGATGACCAGGGGGGGTGGACATAATGGCGTGGGCCATGAGATCTCCCCAGGTTTCATGGCGCCTCTTCTTGTCTCAACGCGTCCACAGCCCCCCACCCCGTTGGCCGCGCACATGCTTCGGGCCATGATTTGCACCCCCTCTTGGACGCTCCAGAGTTCTGGAACGGCCGCGGCGCCCGATGCATCCTCCAGAGCCGCCGTCGGATTCGGGCCAATGGGTCCTTCTGCCAATGGGTTCTCAAGAGTGTACACCACAGTTCGTGCAGCCATTCGTGCGTGATGCGCCGCCCGTTGTGCAGTATCGGCACGTGGCTGCAGCGCGCCCCGCGCCACGGGATGAGCTGTTGCATTTTGGCCTTAGGACCCCGTGGCGAAAGACCCCCTTTGGCCAGAACCAACCGGCCGCCGGGTCTCAGATATCCGCGGATTGACCCTGTCCGATGCTGTCCTGGTCCCGGCAGTTCGAATAGACTACAAAATTGGTTTACCCCAAAATTGATTCCTCAGTCGGATCTACGGAGCTTGCTACGTACTTGTTTCGAGACTCGACGAGAAAAAACAATTCTAGGGTAACTCAATCCTGCAGTCCATCCCCTACTCGGGCAGTTCGTCTGCCGAAGGCGAGCCGCGGCTCCAAGGCGGAGGCCCCGAGGGCGAGGGGCCCCTGCGGAGCGAGAGGTCCCTGCGGGACGAGGGGCCCTCCGGGACGAGGCGCCTCGACGAGGGGCCTCGAGCAGGGGCCTCGACGTGCCCCTGCCCGATCTTGCCCCAGTCTTGTCGGGCGACGAGATCTGCGCACATCCACTCGGGAGCGGCCGAGAAGGGGGTGATGACCAGGGGTGTGTGGATATCATGGCGGGGGCCATGATGGCCCCCAACGGAGCTCCACCGAAGGCGTCGGTGGCGCAGTTCGCATGCGCTTCCCCCACCCATGACAGCGTTTCGTGGCCCCATAACGCCACAAAAATCTCCAGCGAAGGCCCCAATGGCGCAGTTCGCATGCGTTTTCCCATACAGGACAGCGCTTCGTGGCCCCATAATTAGGGAACTCCACCGAAGGCCTCAGTGGCGGTATCCACATGCGTCCGCGCCACCGATTTCGGCGCACCCCTCACACGTCTCGTGGCCCCATAGGGAGCTTCACCGAAACCGGAACCCACAATGCGGCATTTGCAACTGCATATGGCTGGGTCTTTGGTCAGGCTATTTTTTGTGATTCTTTTGCATTTTTCTTCCAGCACCGCCTGTATGAGGACATGCCCGGCCTAATGGTAGCATGAATGTCGCAGAAGAGGAAACGCCACCCCATTGAGGGGTGTCCAGCGCAGGTCCTAGAAACTTCGCGGGGCGTCACACGTTTCTGTTCATGGCGTTTTTTTTTCCTGTTCTTCTAGAAAGGATGTGGGGGCGGGTGCGCCTGGTTCATCAGAGAGAGAGAGAGAGAGTAAAAGAAAGAGAGAGAGAGAGAGAGAGTGGCGAGGGGCCCTCGAGCACGAGACTCGGCCCCTCCCTTCCTTCGCCCTCGTCTGCCGTGGCTTCTCCACCCTCCCCTCCCGTGGAGGGCTTCTGCCGGCGGCCGGCCGGTGCGACGTGCCATCGAGCACGGAGAGGGGGGCCAGCAAAAGACGCCGCTGACAGCTGCAGCAGCGGCTTTCGCGACGCTGCGCGGCGCTCCCCACGGGCGGGGCCGGGCCGGCGAGGGCGGTGGGCGAGGAGGCAGTGGGGGGAGGAAGGGAAGGATGATTAGATCCGGCCCAACACTTTTTTTCGATTCGCGGGTCGAGAGCGAGCCTCTTCCGATCGAAGCTAAGCGGGCCGCGCACAGCTTTGATTAACAGAGGAAGGAAAATAGAAGGCGGGGCCTCACGTCAAGGCCAAGAGAGGGCAAGGCCCCGGGAACATCTGGCCCAACACATGGCGCGTGCGCGCATCACTGAGGATGTAGTTCTCTCTCCCTTTCCACGCTGTTTCCCTCAGACGTGTTCGTCGTTTGATTCTGTTGCCAGTGCCCGCCCGAAGGGTGAGTGGTCCCACGGGCCTGCGCGATGACCACCCCATCGGTTAAGAAATGCTCATCAACCATCGGCCTAATGAGTTTTTCGGCCTCGTGACGTTACATAGTGCATAGTCCAACGACGCCCTGTGTCAGCAATGAGATGGGATGCGCGGTGTGTGATCTGATTAGGGGGCCCACTCGTGTTTGACCCTATCGTGTGTGGGATCAGATCGAGTGGTACTCTGTCGTGTGGAGCTGTATCGCGTGAATCCCTATGGTGTCCCTCCTCTTCCTCCTCTTCCTCCTCCTCCTCCTCTTCCTCCTCCTCCTCCTCCTCCTCCTCCTCCTCCCTGATGTCATGAGGAGTGTCCCTCCTCTTCCTCCTCCTCCTCCTCCGCCGTCTCCTCGTCCTGTGCCCGCCTCGGGCGGCTCTGCGCTGCATGGGCGTGTATTGAGCGTTGGGGATCCTGAGTCTGCCCGTTTCTCCCCTGCTCTTCCTCACCCCCTTCTTCCTCCTTTTTCTCCTTCTCTTTTTCCTTCTCCTCCCCCTCCTTATTTCTCTTGTTTGGCAGAGAGTTGCGCAGCATCTTCGCGGCCATTGCGTGTCGCTGTTGTACTCCTGGACGAGAGAGAGAGAGAGAGAGAGAGAAAGAAAGAGAGAGAAACACAGATAAATAAATATAATAAAGAGAGATATGCTACAGAGAGAAATATAATATATGTGTGTAGAGAGAGATAACATAAATAGAGAGAGAGAGAGAGAGAGGGATACATTTACACACATATATACATATATGGGAGATCCCGGGCCCCGGGCCCCGGGCCGGAACCTCCCTTGTATATAGGGTGCGGCCCTCTCCCGGGGCGCCCTTCCGGCGGCCCCCGCGCGTTCCAGCCCGCCCAAGAGGGCTCCAGGAGCGCCGAGAGAACCCCAGGATCGCTTCAAGACCGCCAAAGATCGCTTCCAGAAGGGTCAAGAGGCGCTCAAACCGCCCCAAGAGGCCTTCAAGAGGCCCCCCACGAGCGCCCCGGGAGACCAAAATAGCCCCATTTCCTTCGTAAAACGTACATTTTTACGATATCAGCTCCCTTAGCTGTCGGAGCGGCCAGAAAGCCCCACGAGGCGCCCAAGGACGCTCCAGGACGACTGAGGACAGCCCCAAGACGGCCCAGGAGGGCCTCCCGGGACGCTCCTCCGGCGGCCCCCGGGCTGCCCAGTCCGCCCAAGAAGGCTCCAAGAGCGCCGAGAGAAGCCCATAGGATCGCTTCAAGACCGCAAAGGATCGCTTCCAGAAGGGCCAAGAGGCCATCAAACCGCCCCAAGAGGCCTCCAAGAGGCCCCCCAAGAGCGCCCCGGGAGACCAACATGGCCCCATTTCCTTCGTAAAACGTACATTTTTACGATATCAGCTCCCTTGGCTGTCGGAGCGGTCCGAAAGCCCCACGAGGCGCCCTAGGATAGCCCGAAGACAGCCCAGGAAGGCCTCCCGGGACGCTCCTCGGGCGGCCCCCGGGCCTCCCAGTCCGCCAAAGAAGGCTCCAAGAGCGCCGAGAGAAGCCCAGGATCGCTTCAAGACCGCCAAAGATCGCTTCCAGAAGGGACAAGAGGCCATCAAACCGCCCCAAGAGGCCTCCAAGAGGCCCCCCAAGAGCGCCCCGGGAAACCAAAATGGCCCCATTCCCTTCGTAAAACGTACATTTTTAGGATATATCATCCCTTGGCTGTCCGAGTTGTCAGACAGCCCCAGGAGGCGCCCAAGGACGCCCCAGGACGCCTGAGGACAGCGCTAAGAGGGCCTAGGAGGGCTTCCTGGGACGCTCCTCGGGCGGCCCCCGGGCCTCCCAGTCCGCCCAAGATGGCCCAAGAGACTTCCCGGTCGCCCCGAGAGGGCCCCCGGAGCGCTCCGATACGGCCCAACATGGCCTCCATAGGTCTTTCTATGTTTTGAGGCCCAGAATGAGGCCCTCCAGATTTGGTCCGACGATGTGGCGCGGCTCCAAGGGGGGGGGCCTAATATTGCAGAACAATACAATATGTAGCATATGTAACAAGTATGCAATCGTTGGATACACTGGACACGTTGCATTAAAGCATCCGCGGACCTGCCTCTGGCAACACGTCATTTTCGGACGTAGATTTCCCGCGAATCGCCACGGAATCGGACCCGTGTTTGCGAACACCGTTTTCGGAGCAAACTAGAACCTAAGCGCGCGAAGCGCGCGCGTGGTTCTAGTGTATATATATAGCTTTATATATAAAGCCCGCGCTCGCGCCAGGAGTGTTCAAGCGGCAAGTGCAAGCGGCCTCGGTAGGGTAGATACCCTGGAGACAGCATCACTCGCGCCTCGCGGAGAATCGCTCCGGGGGGAATGGCCCGAATCTCCTCCTCCCCCTCCTCCTCCTCCTCCCTCCTCCTCCTCCTCCTCCTCCTCCTCCTCCTCCTCCTCCTCCTCCCCCGTCTCCTTCTCCTCCTCCTCCCCCTCCTCCCCCTCCTCCTCCTCCTCCTCCTCCTCCTCCTCCTCCTCCTCCTCCTCCGTGAAGATGTTGCAGGCAGGGCGGGCCCGGGCTTCTCGCCCGAGGCTTCGCCAGTCGTGGCGCTCAGGCGCAGGACTCGCAGCAGCTCCGCGGACGAAGGGTGGGCCGGCGCCGCGCGCGCGTGTCAAAATTTTGCAGCAGTTTCACGGAGGAGGAGGGGGAGGAGGAGGAGGAGGAGAAGGAGGAGGAGGAGGAGGAGGAGGAGGCGGAGGAGGAGGAGGAGAAGGAGGAGGAGGAGGATGAGGAGGAGGAGGAGGGGAGGAGGAGGAGGAGGAGGAGGAGGAGGAGTAGGAGGAGGAGGAGGAGGAAGAGGGGGAGGAGGGGGGGAGGAGGAGGAGGAGGAGGAGGAGGAGGGAGAGAGGAGGAGGAGGAGGAGGAGGAGGAGCGGGTCGCTCTCAACATGTTGCTCTCGCCTTGGGGCCGCGCAAGTTCGTGTAGACAATTTTGCAGCGGTCTCGCGGAAGGGGGGCGGCTTCTTTTCAGAGTGTGGTTCACGCCGTAGCGCCGCGCGCATTCTTTTCCACATGTTGCAGCCGTTTCGCGGATGGGGGGCGGCTCTTTTTCGAAATGTGGCTCCCGCCTTAGCGCCGCGTGCATTCGTTCTAAAACATTGCAAGTGTTCTACGGAAAGATGACGATTCCTTTCCAAAATGTGGTTCTCGCCTTAGCGCCGCGCGCATTCGTTGTATATGCTTGCGCGAGTTTCACGGAATCTTATTGTTGGCGTCCCAGAAACCGTGTTCTGGCACGATTCAGGATTGTCAGGTGGGAACAGTGAAGATGATTTGCGGTGTCGACGTTCCGGAAATTGTGTTCTGGCACGATTTAGGATTGTCAGGTGGGAAAAGTGAAGTTGATTCGCGGCGTTGAAGTTGCAGGACTGGTGCCGTGGCATGGTTGAGGTTTTGCAGACGGTTGTTTTCCAGTTGGGCTTTCCCCGCAGCGGGAAGCCTTATGGGAACCGTGGAGGAGGGAATTTGGAGGGAGGGTTTCTTTCACAATCGTTGATGAGTCTTGGGTTTGCACTGGCCCTCCTCGTCCTCGTCCTCCTCTTCCTCCTCCTCCTCCGTCTCCCGAAAAACGCAAATACATACACGTAGATTGGGCCGCCCCTGGCGGCGCCTCCGGCGCCGCCCCCAACGCGCACTGCGCGTCAGCGGAGGGAGGTCAAGCGCCGACCGGAAAGATTTGTGCGGACCATCGCAGCTTCATGTGTCTGCTGTATTTTGCTCTTCTATCCTGTCGGAGCAGGACACGCAGATTCACCGCTCTCCTCCCCTCCCACGCCCAGGAAAGAGGAAAATTATCACGAGAGGAGTTGTGAGGAAGGAGGAGGAGGAGCAGGAGGAGGAAGAGGAGGAGGAGGAGGAGGACCAGTGTAAACCCAAGAGTCATCAAAGATGTTGGAGTAAACCCTCCATCCAAGCTCCCTCTTCACAGGCCCCTACAAGTGTTCATTTCCGCTGAGGGAACTGCCTCGTTGGAACACAACCGCTTAAAGACCTGGAAGCATGCCGAAACATTGCTCTCGGGATTCCAACGCCACGAATCAGCCAGACTGTTGCGTTTCGACGATCCAGAATCTGGCCAGAACGCCATTCGTGGGACTTCAACACCGCGACTCAACGTAACGGTTCCACCTTCAGAATCCTGACTCTCTTCAAAGCGCCATTTGTGGTACGTTGATCATGGAAATCCGTGAATCTTTTGCAAGTTTTTACACCGAACATGCGCGACGCTAAGGCGAGAGCCACATTTCGAAAAGGAGCCGCCTTCAATCCGTGGAACTCCTTGCAAATGTTTAAAACGAATGTTCGCGGCGCTGAGGCGAGAGCCACATTTTGAAAACGGGTGACCCTCAATCCGTGAAGCTCCTGCAAGTTTTTACAACGAATGTGCGCGACGCTGAGGCGAGAGCCACATTTCGAAAGCTACCCGCCCTCAATCCGTGAAACTCTTGCAATCTTTTACAACGAATTTGCGCGGTGCTAAAGGCGAGAGACACATTTTGAAAACCACTTGCCCTGCATCTGTGAAACTGTTGCTCAATATTAAGCTTCAGGGTCGTACGTGGTGAGGAAGTCTCAGGTGAAACGTGTGGCCCGCCCTCAAAACTGGCCTCGGGGTGCGACAGGGACAAGTTTTTGATAAGGAGAAGGAATCGGGCAGGAGGAGCAGGAGGAAGAGGAGGACGAGGAGGGGGAGGAGGACGAGGACGTAGAGGGATGTCGTCCTGCATGACACCAGCCCCCCCCCGCATTGCGCCCCAGCCCCTCGGCGGGGAGGGCGTTCGTGAGCGCGCCCACCGCCGCCGGCGCCTCGCGCCGGGCCGTCCTGGCGCTGCTGCCCCTGGCGATTCCGCTCGGCGGGGGGGGATGGGGCTGAGGTTTTTGGTTGCCATTTGCCTTTTCGGGGCTCTCCTGGGCCTCTCTCGTCACCCCGACTGCATCCCTGCTCGGAGTTTTGGTCTAACTCACCCCTGGAGGAGGAGGAGGAGGAGGAGGAGGAGGAGAAGGAGGAGGAGGAGGAGGAGGAGGTGGAGGAGGAGGAAGGGGAAGAGGAGGAGAGGGGGGAGGAGAGCAGGAGGCGGCGCACCCTGGTACGCCAGGAGGAGGCCGCGGAGGACGTCCAAAGTGAATCCCCATGGGCTTCCTTGATGTATCGTTGATGATGATGCTGATGCTGATGATGCTGATGATGATGATGCCGATGATGCTGATGATCATGATGGTGGTGATGGTGACTGTGATGGTGACGGTGCTGCTGATGATGAGGTTGATGATGATGCTGCTGCTGATGCTGCTAATGAGGATGAGGTTGATGATGAGGATGAGAATGATAACGATGATTGATGATTATGATGATGATGATGACGACGATGGCGATGACGATGACGGTGACGATGATGATGCTGATGATGCTGATTCTGATGCTAATGCGGATGCTGATACTGATACTGACGCTGACGATGATGATGATGATGATGATGATGACGATGATGATAACGATGATGATGATGATGATGATGATGATGATGATGATGATGATGATGATGATGATGATGATGATGATGATGATGCTGATGATGATGATGATGATGATGATAATGATGGTGACGCCGACGGTGGTGGTGCTTGTGATGATGCTGCCATGATAATGAGGATGATGAGGAGGATGATGATGATGAGGATCATGATGATGCTGATGACGATAACGATGATTCTGATAACGATGTTGACGATGCTGATACTGATGCTGATGATGTTGATGTTGATGATGTTGATGATGCTGCTTATAATGGTGAGGATGATGATGACGATGATGATGCTGATGGTGATGCTGATGATACTGATGATCGCTGATGATCATTTTGATGCTGATGAGGTTGATGAAGCTGATTATGACGATGATGATGGTGATGCTAATGATGATGATGATGATGATGATGATGATGATGATGATGATGATGATGATGATGATGATGATGATACTGATGATACTGATGATGATGATGATGCTTTTGATCATGATGATGGAGGATGATGATGATGCTGATGATGATGGCGACGATTGTGAGGGTGATGCTGCTGCTGATGATGATGATGATGGTGATGGTGATGATGCTGATGATGATGATGATCATTCTGCTGATGCTGCCGATGCTGGTGCTGATTCTCATGCTGATGCTGCTGCTGCTAAGATGATGATGAGGATGAGGTCATGATAATGCTGATGATGATGATGATGATGATGATGATGATGATGATTCCGATGAAGATGACGATGCTGGTGATGCTGGTGATGAGAATGATGATGATGATGATGATGATGATGATGATGATGATGATGATGATGATGATGATGACACTGATGGTGATGACGATGATGACGATGATCATGATGCTGATGATGATGCTGATGCTGATGCTGATGATAAGAGTAATGACGCTGATGATGATGCTGCTGATGATGATAATGATGATGACGATGATGATGATGATAATGGCGATGGTGATAGTGATGGTGAGTGCGACGGTGATGGTGATGATGCTGATGCTGATGCTGATGATGATGATAATGATGATGACGAGGATGATGATGATGATCATGATGATGCTGATGATGATGATGAAGATGAAAATGATGATGATGATGATTATGATGATGATGATGATGATGATGATAATTGTCGGGAACATGGTGATGCTGTTAACGCTGCTGATGCTGTCGCTGATGCTGACGCTGAATCTGATGCTGCTGATGCTGCTCATGAAGATGATGATGAGGATGCAGATGAGGATGAGTGTGAGGATGACGGTGATGATGATGATGATGATGATGATGATGATGAAGATGGGGCTAATGAGAACGGTGTCGGTGGTGGTGATGATGGTGTTGGCAGCGGTGGTGGTAATGATGATGATGATGATGATGATGATGATGATGATGATGATGATGATGATGATGCTGATGATCATGATGACGACGATTGTGAGGGTGATGCTGCTGCTGATGATGATGGTGATGGTGATGATGCTGATGACGATTCTGTGATGGTGGCGATGGTTGTGGTGGTGGTTGTGAGGATGGTGATTCTGATGATGATGACGACGACTACGATCATGATTATGCTGATAATGCTGCTGCTGTTGTTGATCATGATCATGATAATGACAATGCCGATGATGATGATGATCAGGATAATGATGATGAGGATGATGATGATGATAATGATACCGATGATGATGCTGATGACGATGACGGTAATAATGGTGACGACGAAGATGGTGATGATGATGACGATGATGATGCTGATGATGATGACGACGACACGATGATGATGATGATGATGATGATGATGATGAGGATGCGGATAAGGATGAGGATGAGGATGAGGATGAGGATGAGGATGATGATCATGATGAAGAGATGATGATGATGATGATGATGATGATGATGATGATGATGATGATGATGATGATGATGATGATGATGATGGTGGTGGTGGTGGTGGTGGTGGTGATGATGATGATGCTGATGACGATCATGATGATGCTGCTGCTGATGATGATCATGGTGGTGGTGGTTTCGGTGATGGTGGTGGTGATGATGATGGTGGTGGTGGTGATGATGACGACTATGATGCTGATGATGATGATGATGATGATGATGATGATGATGAGGAGGGTTGGAGCGGCTGTCTGGAATTGTTTCACGCGCGAGCATCCTAGTCTCAGTTCCCGCCCTTTGGAGCGTCGTTGTGCAGACACATGTTTTCACGCAGTCTTTGGCCAGGACAGGCGCTTGGCCGAAGTGCTCACGTATGCGGCGAAACGCGGAGGAATCTGGAGAGCGCACGCGTCGTTTCAAGACTGCACGTCGTGTGTCCGACGTCTGTTCAAGCCAACTCTGCGCCGGCCCGTCCGACGATTTGAGCCTCTATTGGCCTTCTCCGCTGACGTGCCCATTCGCCGGCATTGGGCTTGGCTGTGCCAGAACATGGAAGCACAGAAGGAAGAAGACGAGGAGAAAGAGGAGGAGGAAGATGAGGATGAGGATGAGGATGAGAAGGAGGAGAGGAGGAGGAGAAGGAGGGGGAGCCTGAGGAGGAGGAGGAGGAGGCGGGGGAGGAGGAGGATGTGAATGAGGATGAGGATGGTGATGATGATGATGATGACGATGATGATGATGATGATGATGATGATGATGGTGATGATGATGTTGACGACGACGATGGTGATGGTGATGCTGATTATGATGATGACGATGATGATGACTTGATGATTAGATGATTAAATGATGAGATCATTAGATGATGATGATGATGATGATGATGATGATGATGATGATGACACTGATGGTGATGACGATGATGACGATGATCATGATGCTGATGATGATGCTGATGCTGATGCTGATGATAATAGTAATGGCGCTGATGATGCTGCTGATGATGATAATGATGATAATGATGATGACGATGATGATGATGATGATGATAATGGCGATGGTGATAGTGATGGTGAGTGCGACGGTGATGGTGATGATGCTGATGCTGATGCTGATGATGATGATAATGATAATGACGAGGATGATGATGATGATCATGATGATGCTGATGATGATGATGAAGATGAAAATGATGATGATGATGATGATGATGATGATGATGATGATGATGATGATGATGACGATGATGATGATGATGATGATGATGATGATGATGATGATGATGATGATGTGGATGATGATGATGATGATGATGATGATGATGATGATGATGATGATGATGATGATGATGATGATGATGATGATGATGATGATGATGATGATGATGATGATGATGAGGAGGAGGAGGAGGAGGAGGAGGAGGAGGAGGAGGAGGATCACGACCGCCCGACTGACCGACGACGACGACGGACGTACGTACGGACGGACGGACGGACGTACGGACGGACGACGACGACGACGACGACGACGAGGCAAAGGCAAGGGCAGGCCCCGACGCCGCGCGCGCGGCGGGCGTCGACGACATCTCGCAGGGGTCCGCGACGCCGAGGACCCGCCGGAGAGCTCCGAAGGGCGAGGCGGGCGTTTTTCGTAGCTCTGCCCCCCAGCCGCGAGGAGGGGTCCGAGGCCCGAGGCCCGAGGTGCGAGGTGCGAGGTGCGAGGTCCGAGGTCCGAGGTTCGGGGCCCGAGGTCCGAGGTTCGGGGCCCCAGGGCCGAGGTTCGAGGTCTGAGGTCCGAGGTCCGAGGTCCGAGATCCGAGGTTCGAGGTTCGAGGTTCGAGATTCGGGGCGGGTCGCTCGGACGATCGGGGTTCGAGGTTCGAGGTTGTCGGGCGCCGTCGTGCGGCCTCGTCGGGTGCTTCTGGCCTCAGCGGGGCTCTCCGACGGCGGCGCCTCGCCGAGTTTTCGTTCCGGGATCCCCAGCGGCCCCCAGAGACCTGGCCTACAGCCCGAATGCCAGCCGACGACAATCACTCGGCGCGGGCGAAGAAGGTGAGAGGGAGGGAAGTGGGATCTGATGAGCCAAGTTTCCACCACCATCACCATCATAGGTAGGACGGGGACGGGGAGGTCCTCCTCCTCCGCCTCCTCCTCCTCGTCCTCTTCCTCCTCCTCCTCCTCCTCCTCCTCCTCCTCCTCCTCTTCCTCCTCCTCCTCCTCCTCCCTCTCCTGCCTGTGGTAGTGGTGGTGGGAGATCGGCACAGTACCAGAGCACGAGAGCTGCTGCACGCAGCCGGCTCCGGCCCCGCCGCCGAGCACGGGCCTCGATGGATTCCTGCGCGTCTGGTATGCGACAGGAGGCGCTGGCAGAGCCAGCTGCGTGCGGCTGGCTCGCTGGCCCCTTCCTTGTTCGGGCAGGGCGAGGACGAGGACAACCGAAGGAGAAACATCGCCATAAACACAAACTTTTGGCGCTCCGCGCGGATCTCTTGGGTCCGCGCTGCCCCCCCCCCCCCCGCGGCGCATCTGGCGCCGCCCCTGGCGCGGATCCAAGAAATCCGCGCGGAGCGCCAAAAGTTCCTGTTTATGGCGTTCTCTCTTCCTCAAGATAAGTCCGTTCCTTCGGTCGCAAATCATGTGAACCTGTTGTACCCTCTGAATTCCGGCTCTAGCTTCGGTCAGCGTCGATGAGAGTCTAGGAGTGAATGAGATAGCGCCGATTTGGCGTCGGTTAGCGTCGATTTAGCGTCGATTAGTATCGATTTAGCGTCGACTAGCGTCGATCCGCAAAGAGCCGACAAGATGGTATGGGAGGCTCCCACGAGTTGCCACCGAACGTTCCAGAGCGTTCCGGAACGCTCTCAGAGCCTTCTGGAACGCGGGCCACGGCACCTGAGACATTCTCCAGAGCTGCCGGACCTCAGAGATTCTCGATTTATCCTCATCCGACTTTATCTTCGTCCCGGCTTCGTCCTTCGGCCACGCGCCAAGAAGGGCAGGGGGAGGGGGGGAAGGCTTCTTAGAGAAGCACCCCTACTTCCCAGAATGCGCGGGCCTTGTCGGTAGATGTAGAGCTGGCGCCTTCCAAGAAGCAGTCTCGTTCTATGAACCCTTCCCCCTCCCCGTAGGGCCTCTTTTCCACCACCATCACCATAGGTTGGCGGGGGGGAAGGAGGAGGAGGAGGACGAAGAGGAGGAGGAGGAGGAGGAGGAGGAGGAGGAGGAGGAGGAGGAGGAGGAGGAGGAGGAGGAGGAGGAGAAGAGAAGGGAGGAGGAGGAGGAGGACCCCCCCCTACAACTTATGGCGTGCGCGCCGCCAATTGTCGCCCGCCCAGACGAGCTGCCGCTGGACCCGGGGCAGTTCCTCTTCCGGCCGGGGCTCCCGCCCGAGGTGGCAGTCCTGTGGGGGAGGGCGTATTGGCAGCATTGTTCAGGTATCCTTGGTTCGCTCTGGGCGTCCTCATCCTCCTCCTCCTCCTCCTCCTCCTCCTCCTCCTCATCCTTTCATCGTCACCTTCGCCCTCATCCTACAATCCTCGTAAGCATCATCTTCACAATCGTCGTGTCGTGCCGCCGCCGCCGCCGCCGCCGCCGTCGTCGTCGTCGTCGTCGTCGTCGTCGTCGTCGTCGTCGTCGTCGTCGTCGTCGTCGCCGCCGCGCGTCGTCGTCGTCGTCGTCGTCGTCGTCGTCGTCGTCGTCGTCGTCGTCGTCGTCGTCGTCGTCGTCGTCGTCGTCGTCGCCGTCGTCGTCGTCGTCGTCGTCGTCGTCGTCGTCGTCGTCGTCGTCGTCGTCTTTGTCTCGTGTTTCTTTTTATTGCGACGGCATTGCGGCCGGTGCCGCCGATCCTGAAGGGGAACGACGAGAACAGCGGCGGCGGCGACGACGACGACGCTAATGCTTCTTGGGGGTCTCTTCGAAGCGCTCTGGGGGGCCTCTGGGGAACAGTTTATTGGCCTCTTGGGAGCCTCTTGGAGGTCTCTTGGGAGCCTCTTGGGGGCCTCTCGGGGCTTCCTGGGGGCCTCTTGGGGGCCTCTTGGGGCCTCTTAGGGGCCTCTTGGGGGCCCCTTGGTTCCTCCTGGGAGCCTCTCGGGGCCGAGGGCTCGAAATGTCCGTTTTGGTCCCTCGTCTGGGCACCCTCTTGGAGCCGTCTTGGGGGCCTCCTGGGCCGTCTTGGAGGCGTCTTGGGCCGTCTGGGGGCCCTCTTGGACCGTTTTGGGTCCCTGCTGGAACCCTCTTGGTTTGTCTTGGGGCGATCTGGGGGGCCTCGTGTTCCGTTCTGAAGCGTCGGGAAGCGGAAGAGGCGAGAATGCCGAAATGCTTAAAAATCCAATGGGAAATCAGTGATTTGTCCGCATCAGAGGGAAGGGGCTTCCTTTCGAGTCATGGGCCCGGGGATCCCCCGGGGGGGAGTCGTATCTGACTCGGGGCCGCCCCCCCCCCGGGACCCCCACCTTTCCCGGCGGGGGAGTGACCAAAAGGAAGGGACTTCCCTTCGAGTCAAGAACGTCGTTGTTCAGTTTCGCTTTGGCTTGCGCGCTTGAGGAGGAGGGCCTAGGGAAGGGGGGTGGAGAGCGGCGACGGGCCCAGCGCATGATGAGGAAGGCTCAGGGAAAGGGGGGGGGAGCGGCGACGGGCCCAGGGAAAGGAGGAGCGCAGGGAAACGGGAAAGGGGACGACAGAGACGACGACTAACGAATGATGGAGACGACGACTCGAACGGACAAGCCCCTCACACACGCCGACAGGGTCGGCGGATTATTAGTCTTCTTCTTCTTCTTCTTATTATTATTCTTCGTCTTTGTTTTCGTCATCATCATCGTCGTCATCATCATCGTGGATGCAACCTGGGTTTGCTCTTATCCTTCTGCTCCCCCATCCACAGTCACCGTCCTCCCTCCTGTGTGTGGTCGCGTCCCCAGGAGATCTGGAACTCCAGGTGGCGCCGAGGCAAGTGTGGTCGGAGGGTCTCCGATGCCCGTCGTGGTTTTGAGGGTTTTGAGTGACTGTGGAGGTGCACGTCGCCACGGCTGGGCGCGGCTCTGCAACATCATGGTTCAGTCGGGCCTGTCCCCCTGCAGGGGGAATATTCAGAAATGGTAAAACAGCTTGTCTGGGGACGACTTTTCGACCATTCTTGACCTCTTTTGGAGGCATTTCTTGAGTATTTTTCACGTCTCGTCCACAAAACCCCCTGTAGGAGGACAGGCCCGACTTAACATTATGGGCCCTGGGAGGGGGGAGGAGGGAGGAGGGAGGAGGGAGGAGGGAGGAGGGAGGAGGGGGCCATGGGACCCGCCCGGGAAGAGACTCTGGCGGCGCGATCCGCGGCCCGGTGCGCTCTCTGCCCCGACGCCGCCGGTGCGTCGCGTGTGCACTTTGGGGCTGCTTCTCCTCCTCCTCGTCCTCCTGCTCCTCTCTCTCCTCCCCCTCCTCCTCCTCCTCCTCTTCCTCCTCCTCCTCCTCCTCCTCCTCCTCCTCCTCCTCCTCCTCCTCCCCCTCTTCCTCTTCTTCCTCCTCCTCCTCCTCGGGTAATTGTGAGGTGCGTGCGGGGCTGTCAGGGGCAGGGCGAGGAGGCGAAACGGGGGGTGGAGGGGCCGGAGGCGGGAGGGCGAGAAGGCGGCCGAGGAGGCGGAAGGAATGACGGGCTGGAGGAGGGGGAGGGGGATGGGGAGGGGAGGGGGGGGGGAGGGGAGGAGTGAGGAGGAGGAGGAGGAGGAGGAGGAGGAGGAGGAGGGAGGAGGAGGAGGAGGGAGGAGGAGGAGTGAGGAGGAGGACGGAGGAGGAGGAGGAGGAGGCGGAGGAGGAGGAGGAGAGGAGGAGGAGGAGGAGGAAGGAGAGGAGAAGGAGGCGGACGGAATGCGGGGCTGGAGGAGGAGGAGGAGGAGGAGGAGGAGGAGGAGGAGGAGGAGGAGGGATAATGAGGAGCGAGGAGGCCAGCCAAGCCAGGATCGGTGCGCGTGCATCGCTGGGGGAACAAGGATCGGCCCTCAGCTCCCGAAAGAGATAGACTCCGAGGGCGCCGTCTTCGACGACTGGCAGCGCACCGAGATCATCTCGGAGTCCACGCTTGTGGATCCCAACGATCCGAAGAGGGGACGGGAGGGGAGGAAGAGGAGGGCTGCTCACTACGCACTCCTACCTCCTTTTCGACTTGCGTCATCTACCGGCACTGGTGGGACGGGGGCGATGAGAAGGGCACGAAGCCTTGTGAATAACGCGGGTTGCGAATGCCAGCTGTCCTTTGGTGGGCCTCCCTGGAGGTTCAGACGGCACTGGTTGGTCGGGGGAGGGTGGGAAGGCATGAAACATGATAAATGACGCGGGCGGGGCCTCCCTGCAGGGTCAGACGGCGCTGGCGGGACTGGGGGAGTGGGGAAGGTACGAACTCTGATGAAGCATACGGTTTGAGCATAGACCGCGCGGTCCGGCGCGGCTTCCCTTGGGGGAGAAGCGCGTTTCTGGTGGGGCTGGTGGAGCGGGAAGGGCACGGATCCTAACGAAAAGCACGGTTTGCGTACAAGAGCCCGCGCGGTCCAAACGGCAAGCATGGGATCATCACGGCCTGTGGAGTGGGAAAGACGCGAACCCTGATACAGAACACGGTCTGCGCACAGCAGCACGGGCTGCTCGCAGCCCGCGCGGCTTGCCCTGCTTTTTTTTGAATGCCTGCCGCGGCGGGTGGGTCCAGCGGAGGCCGAAGGGCACGAACCCCGATACCGAACACGGTATTCGCATAGCCCGCGCGGGCCGGCGCGGCTTCCTTGTTGGGGGGGAACGTGGTAGTGGCGGGGCTGTTGGAGGCTGAAGGGCAGGAACCCTGATGAATAGCACGGTTTTCAGATAGACCGCCCGTCCGAGGCGGTGGGGCATGCACGCAATCGGAAGGCGGGAATGCACGCAGAAGGATGCAATCGGAAGTGCATACAGAACTATGGATGATGAGGACATGGAGGATGAGGATGAGGATGGTGACGAGGATGAGGGTGATGAGGAGGATGATGCTGCTGCTGATGATGAGCGGCGATGATGATGAGGCTGATGCTGCTGTTCATGCTCATGTCTATGCTGATGCTGATGCTGTGCATGATGATGATGATGATGATGATGATGATGATGATGATGATGCTGATGATGATGATGGTGATGGTGATGGTGATGATGATGCTGATGCTGCTGCTGATGATGATGCTGATTAGTATTCCAATGCGGATGATGATGTTGTTGATGATGGTGATGACGATAGTGAGATGATGGGAGTGACGATGGTGATGCTGCTGCTGATGATGGTACTGATTATGATCATGCTGAGGATGAGGATGATGCTGATGATGGTGATGATGAGATGATGGTGATTGTTCTACTCATGATGCTGATGCTGTTGATGATGATGATGCTGATGCTGATGCTGCTATTGATGATGATGACGATGATGCAAATGCTGCTGCTGCCAATGATGATGACGATTCTGACCCTGCTGCTGATGATGATGATGATGATGATGATGATGATGATGATCATGATGATGTCGACAACCATGCCGACGACGACAACGATGGTGATGAATCCGATGATGGTGATGATGATGAAGAAGAAGATGTTGGGGATGGTGATGACGATGATGATGGTGGTGGTGATGGTGATGATGACGAGTTGAATACATTGAGGAGGGATGAGGGTGAGCGTGAGGTTCTGGAGGGGTCCAATGCCTTTTCCCAGAAGATTTTTCCGCTGCCGCCCCCAGCGATGGGGCAAAGCGAGTGAAGATACTGTCGCGAGTTGGACAGGGGCAGGTACAAGCAGCTGCGTATCCTCGCGGACATGGAGAAGCAACAGCGCAAGAACGAGGCCTGTGCGCCAGCGGCCTCCTCTTAGTTCGTTCGCTCCCCCCTCGATCCTCCAACGTGTTTTTCCCTGACTCGGCATCTTGAGCACGTTTACAGGAGGATGATGATGATGATGATGATGATGATGATGATGATGATGATGATGATGATGATGATGATGATGATGATGATGATGATGATGATGATGATGATGATGATGATGATGATGATGATGATGATGATGATGATGATGATGATGATGATGATGATGATGATGATGATGATGATGATGATGATGATGATGATGATGATGATGATGATGATGTGATGATGATGATGATGATGATGATGATGATGATGATGATGATGATGATGATGATGATGATGATGATGATGATGATGATGATGATGATGATGATGATGATGATGATGATGATGATGATGATGATGATGATGATGATGATGCTGCTGATGATGATGATGATGATGATGATGATGATGATGATGATGATGATGATGCTGCTGATGATGATGATGATGATGATGATGATGATGAGGAGGAGGAGGAGGAGGAGGAGGAGGAGACGCACCGTAGTGTTGGTGCAGCTTATTTTCAGGGACCTCTTGCCAGGCAGCAGCCTGGTGGCAGTCAAGGCCTACGGGCGTCGCTCGTGTGCGTGACTCAGCCGCCGAGTGCTGTAACCGGAATTGTTAACGGAAATTGTCTTCGGGTTGGTCGTGCTGGTGCAGGTTAGCGCCAGCTAATCCAACACAAACAAGCCCTCGTTGGAAATGTCGGCGAGTTCAGCAGCATGTCTCTGCTGCAAGATGAGGTCGTCAGATGGGCATGCCCGGTCGAAGTCTTTGGGCCTAGTGAGATCACGACGTTGTGATCATTCCATGCTGGACGTTGGGATTTTAAAGAGTGCCTTAGGACAGGTTGGGGGGGAGCCTGACGTAACCGCACTTCCTGCCAGATATCACTTATTGACCTTGCTGTGGCCGCGAAGACTTGTGATCAGGGCGTCGCGTCGTGGGCGTAGAAGTGGGCCAATGCGATAAGGACGTGTGCATCCCCCGCTTCAGTTGAATGCTTTTTGCCATACTATGAATCTAACTTTCGTCAGAGTGGAGTAGCAAGCGAAATATCGGTCATTCGAACAGCGTCCCCGTGTAATTGTCACCCGATATTGAGAGTTCATTGCGCGTATGCCGTACAGAGTCCCTGTGAAGTTGGCGTTTCGAACCTAATCATGTGTTCCTCTGTAACTCTTCACGCTTCGTTTCTCCTCAACAGCCCATTCGGAAACGCTGCCCCTGAGAGCTGATGGGAAAAGGGACGAAGAGGCACATGTAGTGAACCAGAGCGGGCATCCAGGGTGAACAGAGAGATCTCTGGTAGGAATTCGGGGCCTCCTTGGGGCCATCCCCTGGCCCCCGCGTGGGGGCGAGGGACTGAGGAGGAGGAGGATGAGGAGGAGGAGAATGGGCAGGAGGAGGAGCATGAGCAGGAGGAGGAGGAGGAGCAGGAGGAGGAGGAGGAGGAGGAGGAGGAGGAGGAGGAGAAAGACGACAACGACGACGACCACGACGACGAGGAAGAGGGGAAAGGAATATTAAGAATCTGTGGGCAAGGAGGAAGACGAGGAGGAGGAGGAAGATGACAACGAGGACAATGGCAGAGCCCTCAATATTGCCTCTTGGAGCCCTCTTGGGATGTTTTTTTGGGATTCCAGGGTCCTCTTGGGGCTCTTTTGGGGATTCTTGGGGTCGTCTTGGGGCCCTCTTGGAGCCCTTTCGAGGGTCCTTCGGGAGCCTCTTGGAGCCGTCTTGGAGGCCATGGATCATACGGGGGGGGGTCCCGATATGCCTGCCCCACCTGGGGCCATCGAACTCGCCTCTTAGGAACACTCTTGGACCGCTCTCGGGCGCTCTTGGGGTCGTCTGGGGGGCCTCTTGGACCCCTCTTGGGCCTCTCCATGGCCATCTTGGGGCCATCTTGAGGCCTCACACGCGCATCGGAAGCGACACGGCGGTACGGCAACACCCAGTTTTGCCCTTAGGTTTTTGACGGATCTTGGCCTCGTGGGGGCTCCTGATGAGGAGGTGGAGGATGAGGATGAGGATGAGGAGGAGGATGAGGATGATGATGCTGCTGCTGCTGCTGATGATGATGATGATGATGATGTTGATGATGCTTATGATGATGACAATGGTGATGCTGATGCTGACGGTGGTGGTGATGAAGAGGATGATGCTGACGATAATGATGCTGATGGTGATGACGACGAGGAGGTTGTGGATGCGGATGATGAGGACGAGGATACTGCTGATGCTGATGCTGGTGCTGATGCTGCTGCTGCTGATGCTGATGACGATGTTGTTGTTGATGACGATGATGCTGATGCAGATGCTGACGATGGCGATGATGATGATGATGATGATGATGAGGATGCTGAACATGCGGGCACTGAATATGCAGATGCTGTTGCTGATGATGATGCGTATGCCGTTGATGATGATGCTGCTGATGGTGGTGTGATGGTGATGACACTGATGCTGATGATGCTGATGCTGATGCTGCTGCTGCTGATGATGTTGACTATGATCATAATGATGCTTATGATGATGATTATGATGATGATGCTGATGCTGATGCTGACGACGATGATGCTGATGCTGCTGACACTGATGATGCTGACGATGTTGATGATCATGTCGATGATGATGCTGCTGCTGATGATGATGACGATGATTCTGATAATGATGACGATGATGATTCTGCTGCTGTTAATGATGACTACGATGATGCTGATGGTGGTGGTGATTATGATGCCGATGCAGATGATACTAAGGATGCTGATGATACGGCTGCTGATGAAGATGATGCTGATGCTGATGCTGATGATGCTGATGCTGATGATGCTGCTGATGATGATGATGCTGATGATGATGATAATGATGATGATGATGATGATGACGTGTTGATGATGAGGATGCTATTGCAGATGATGGTTATGATAATGCTGCTGCTGATGATGCTGAGGATGCTGATGATGATGATGCTCATGCTGCTGCTGCTGATGATGATGCTGATGATGATGATGATGATGCAGATACTGATGATGATGACTGTGATGATGATGATGATGATGATGATGGTGATGATGATGCTGATGATGATGATGATGATGCTGATGATGATGATGATGATGATGATGATGCTGATGATGCCGATGCTGATGCTGATGCTGCTGCTGATGATGATGATGATGACGGTGTTGATTCTGATCATGTTGATGGTTCTGATGATGGTGATGATGGTGATGGGTGGTGGTGATGATGATGATGATGAGGATGATGATGATTGTGATGATGATGATGATGCTGATGCTGATGCTGATGATGATGATGATGATGATGATGATGATGATGATGATGATGATGATGATGGTGATGATGATGATGATGATGATGATGATGATGATGATGATGATGATGATGAGGCGGCGGAGGAGGAGGATAAGGCAGAGGAGGAGGAGGAGGAGGAGGAAGAGGATTCGTATGAGCAGAGAGAGCAGAAGGAGGCGGCGGAGGAGGAGGCTTCGGAGGAGGAGGCGTAGGAGGACGAGGACACCGACGACAAGAACTCCTTGAGCCATCTCGGGGCAGAATAGCGACGAGTAGAACTCTTTGAGCCAATTGGGGCCCTCTTGGATGCTTGCTTTGGGTCCTCCTGAACTCCTGGAGACCTTTTGGGGCTCTTTTGGAAGGCCCTGGGGTCCTCATCGGGCTCTGTTGAGGTGTCGTGGGGCCTCTTGGGGCCCACTTGGGGGCTCTGCAAGGCGCCTCTTGGGGCATCTTGGAATGCGGGCAAGGGGTGGCGAGGTACTCGGTGTTGCTCCTTTCCCCCCCCACACACCTTCCCCCTGAATCCTTCAACATCGCGTTGTGGGGCGCTCTTGTGGCGCTCATGGGCTGCTCTTGGGCGTTCTTGGGGCCGTCTGGGTGGCCTCTTGTGCCCCTCTTGGATCTCTCTTGGGCCATCTTGGGGCCATCTTGAGGCCTCGAAAACGCATCGGAAGCGAACGGGCGAGATGGTCAACACCATTGATTTCCCTTCGTTTTTTTTACGGGCGTAGCCCGTCATGTGATTTTCGGGAAGTAGAGTGACTGACTGACCGAACTGACAACTGAATCACCAAAGCCATCAGATGGCAGTTCTTCTTTCTAGCGGTGAGGATATTTCAGCGGCATTTTCAAGCCATGGGGGTTGAGGATATTTCGCTGGCAGTTTTAGGCCAGGGGCGGTGAGGATATTTCACTGGCAGTTTCAAGCGAGGGGGGTGAGAATATTTCACTGGCAGTTTCAAGCGAGGGGGTTGAGGATATTTCGGTGGCAGTTTTAAGCCAGGGGTTGAGGATATTTCGCTGGCAGTTTTAAGTGAGGGGTGTGAGGATATTCCGCTGGCAGTTTAAAGGCTGGGGGTTGAGGATATTTCGCTGGCAGTTTCAGGCCAGGGCGTGAAAATGTTTTGCTGGCAATTTTAGGTGAGGATATTTCGCTGGCAGTTTGAAGTCAGGGGGTTGGGGATATTTCGTTGGCAGTTTCAGGCCAGCTGGGTGAGGATATTTCGCAGGCATATGTCAGGGGGTGGAGGATATTTCGCTGACAGTTTCAAGCGAGGGGTGTGAGGATATTTCGCTGGCAGTTTTAGGCCAGGGGCAGTGAGGGTATTTGGCTGAGGGGTGTGAGGATATTGTGCTGGCAGTGTTAAGCCAGGGCGATGAGGATATTTCGCTGGCAGTTCTGGGCCAGGGTGTGTGTGTGTGTGTGTGTGTGTGTGTGTGTGGAAATTTCGCCAGCAGTTTTGAGGGACGGGTGTGAGGATGCGTCGCACGTCAGGGGGCTGAGGATACATGTCCCTGGCAGTTCTAGGCCAGGGGGTTGAGGACTACTGGGGGGGGGGTAATGTGTGAGAGGGAGGACGGAGGACGATGGCGACGAGGAGGTGGCAAAGG